TCAAGACGCCACGAGCCCCCTCCCCATCAGCGATACATGTAGGGACGGATTCAGTGGCCTGCACTACACACGTGTCCTTCGTAACAGGAGTCTTCCATTCCGAGGGCGTCTTCTGCTCGTCTGGAGTGACTGGCCTGTTCAGAAGAACCATTTTCACGCTTGGTTTAGTTTCATACTTGACTTGAAATCTTAAAAGAGTTTTAAGGTTTTCTCATCAGCGAACCTTCATACCTCGTTCTTCTGGGTTATGACACCGTGCAGACTGATAATCTGCTACAAACTTTGAGGATGATTGCAATACTTTCATCAGAACACTCTGGTACATAATCCAGAAGGCTTGAATTCCATTTAACATCAAACAGCCGACTCCCCGCGCACGCGCAGAAGCCAGAATATTGGCAGTCACTTCAAAGTGCGTATAATGTACTATCGCTTATTAAACAATTTTCCTAGTGCTACAAAAACCTTACTCTATTTTTAGTTCGTGGAATGGCTACAACACAAAAGCTTTATCACGGACGCTATGCGTATGTCAAAGAACTTAAGCGGAAAGAGCACCTGCTCAGGAGCAAGAGTAGAGCGTATGATTGCGACACAATCAACATTGGCTTTGGGGCATGAGCTGCAATCTGGCAGCCATTTGATGATCCCCCGTACTAGGGGTCTACTGCCTCGGGCTCGAAACAGCATTGTCCAACAGTGACGTCAACCAACTACGCTAGGAAGAAACGAAAAATGCATACAAAATTTTAGTTGAGCCAAGAGAAGTTGAAGTATTCAGATGTAGGCGTTACGAAAGTATTCATATCTATCCTAGAACAGTACCGAGTACCGAGCTGTGGACTGGATTCATCTGGCTCAGAACAGGAACCAGCAACGAGCTTTTTTGAACAGGGACATGAACCTTCGGTTTCCGAGTCTGCGAAGGACTGTCAGTTTATTACGAAGGATTCTACCGTGCAGAACTAATTAAGGACACTCCCGTGTAGGCTGGTACAATGAATTGCTTACTGGTTGGACGACCCAGAACCCTGCATGTTAAAGAGATTTCATTCTTTCTCTCATCGTCCAGACCAGTTCTGAAACAGACTGGTACCGTAGGGGGTAAAGCGGTCTGAGCGTGAAGCTGACTCTTCACTTCCATTTAAATGGCAGGTTGAGAATACATGAGCCTATACCTCCTTACCATATACATGTTAATGATAATTAGTACAGGTACTGTTGTTGAGTTGAGGCACTATGTTACAAGCCTTAAGGTTGCGGGTTTGATTTCCAATGATGTCACTGGATTTTTCAGATGACCTAATCCTTCCAGCTGCACTATGGCTCTGGGTTCGACTCAGCTTCTAACAGAAATGAGTACCATGAATCTTCCTGGGGATAAAGGACGGCCGGCGCGTAAGGCTTACAATCTCACAGTCATCTGTGAGCAGAAAATGTGGGATTATCTTCATTGGTTGCATCCTGTTGTGTGTTCCTGATATATGTAGGAATTATGTCAACCGTCAAAACAACAAATATACTCAGTTTTGATATTCGATCTTTATTCCTGCTACATGTTTCGGCTGCACAGGACCATCATCAGGCAGCTATACGTATGTAGGAATACGGAGAGTTACTGAACTACCGAAACGGATCCATATCAGTGCAACGTGTCATATTATATACTAACATAAAACTTTTGGCTCAAGCTGGTGTTACAATTAAAGTAGCAAATACATAAATAAGATAAAAGATAAATATAAAGGTATACCATATATCAAGATTTATAATGTGTTGAATATATTATTAAAAATATTAAAAGTATTTTAAAAAATGTTTAAAAAATATTAAAGGATTTTTTTCCATATAGTAGGTTAATAATATGTATGCCAACTTAATTATGCTACAGTGTAGAAGCCTCTACAGCAAAGACCTACAAACAACACACGTGCCCAGTTTGCTACACTGTAGCAGTAGAATCCTATATTT